AAAATTTATAGAATTACCACTTTTTAATGCAAAATATATGTTAAAGAAAAATTTGAAAGTAATAGGTAAGAAGGCAAGTATTAAATATTACTAATGTTTCTACCAGCTAGAACTAGTAATTTTTAGCATTTGAATGATTTTTCTTTCCAGTATATATTCATTCTCTCTCTCTCTCTCTCTCTCTCTCTCTCTCCATTTCTTTTGGTGGAATCGGGGATTGAACTTAGGCCCTTACACTTGCCAGGCAAGTGCTTATTCCACTAAGCCATCTCCCTGGCCCCCAATATTCACTTAATGTATAGGATTGTAAAAAATTTGTGTATGTATGTATGTATGTATGTATGTATGTATGTATGTATTTTGGTGCTGGGAATTGAACTTAGGACCTTGTGCTTGCCAGGCAAGCACTCTACCACTGAACTATATCCCCAATCCTGTATAGGATTTTAAAGATACCTAAATTATGTAATATATATAATTAACTATTCTGCTCTCTTTAAATCTTACACATTTATTTTGAACATTGTATTTATCATCATCACCATACCTGAAACCATTGTTTTGAACTTTGGTTAAGGAAGTCTTAACCAAAGAGGAGATTGGAAAAAGAGGATTCAAAATACACCATGTAGAAGTACAAATTCCCTCTGATGTTTATTTAAAATGTACCAATAAATTTAATTAAGTAAAAAAAAAAAAAAAGATCCTTGACGAGAAATAGGATATCAGTGTAACAAACAAGAACATTTATTTTTTTTCAAGCTTTTAAAAAAAATTTTATGTATTTGACACAGGGTCTCACTACACAGCTTGGACTCGAAGTGAGCCTCCTGTTTCATCCTACCCAGTGCTGAAATTACAGGTGTGTGCCACCACACTCAGTCTTGGTGGCCAGCTTGGCATACCTGGCACGGTGTCTAGTACCAGGGATTGAAACGGAGTCCCTGTGTTTGCCTGTGCAGGTGCTTAGTCTGCTGAGCTATCTCCCTGGTCCACAAAAGCATTTCTTAGGACCAGCAAGATAGCTCAGTGGACTGAATGCCTGCTTAGGCACGCACAGAGCCCGGGGTTTGATTCCTGGTGCTGCATGCCAGCGCTCCTCCACCTCAGACTCACTGAGAGGACCACCAAGGCTGGGCGTGGTGGTGCACTCCTGTAATCCCAGTGCTGGGGAGTCTGAAACAGGAGGATGACTGCAAGTCCTACCTATGTAGTGAGACCTTATACAAGGTACATTTAAAAAAATTTTTTTTTCTTTCTCTATCCTTGTCACTTCATTAGAAAATTTTCCACCATAATCATGAGAAATATTTGACTTTTTAAATCGTTCTGCTTTGTGCTTTCCATAATTTTCTAATTCATTCCTTACAACATAAAATAGGAGCTTTAAGAACATCATCCTTATTCTGTAAGTGCTGAAGTGTGAATAGGAAGATAAAATAACCAACTAAGACTTAACACTTACTAACCAAAGGAACAAGAATTAAAACTCTGTCTGACTCACATTTGTTATACATAGATATTAAGTGATGACATCTTTCCAATAATATTTTGGGCCTTTAATGGCTTAAAAAAATAAAAACAAAATTTGGTTCTTCATTACATTTTATCAGTATATTCATAGAGACCCAGATGTTAGATTTCTGAAATACCACAAATTGATGAGTCTTGCTCCTTGTACAAACTATCCCCCCGTTTGTTGGACAAACAACAATAAAAACAATAGATATGTAGAACATACAAATTGCACTTCCACTGATAAGCATTAGCATTTTCTGTGGCAAATACAATAGAATAAAAATAATTTTCGGGGGCTGGGGAGATAGCTGGGTAGTCTAAGGGCCTGCCTGGCAAGCACAAGGACCCAGGTTCCATCCCAGTACCACATGCCAGCCACTGAAACTGGGCGTGGTGGTGCATGCCTATAATCGCAGCCCTGGAGAAGCTGAGACAGGAGGATCACTATGAGTCCGAGCAGTGTGGCAAGACCTTGTACCAAATATGGATGGATAGATAGAT